CAAAAATCTACATATATACATCAAGTGTTAACTTTCTAAAGAAAATTTACCCTGGTGAAGCTGGTTGTAATTACCAGCAAAAAGTCGTACTTAAATTGTAAATGTTGTGGGTTTACTTTCCAACACACCGGTGTGCTGAATTAGTAACGAATTGGCATGTTTTGTTTATGTGGTGGCGAGTTTAACCACACATTTATATATTTACGAGATCTAACCCAAAAAAAACTTCCATTAGGCAATTAAAACATAGTTTGTGCTGTAATGAAAGCACAATGCGAATCACAGCCACGACCAACATCAGTGGCGAGTGACATCTGAACAGGTCCTGGATATCCCGGCTTCACCAAACCGCACGAGCCAGCCAGGTGCGGGCTGGTCCAACGAGTCTCATTTGTACAAACTCGCTCACAAAGCACTGGCGGCTCCAACGCGATGCCGGTGAAGCAAGCCCCCCACGAGCACACCTCAAAGATGGAGGCAGTTCGCGTACGGTACTTCCAAGTAAACATTCATTCATTTTATGCATCGGGGAGGGGGATGATGAGCCGGCCTGATCGATGGTGGCGGTGGCTTCGCCAAGAGAGGGGGGGGGGGGCAATGTAAGCCAAAGACTCGGTGGTGGGCAGGGACAGGCCGTACAGCTTGCGGAGAACAGACCCGCGGGGGGGGCAGCCGTGAACCACAATTTGGACCGAATTGAAAACAAAGTGAGGGGGGACAATCAACGGCGAAGAAATTGTCCCAGACCATCACGGCCTCACTGTGCACTTCATTGCGAGTGACCTGTCACCTGCTGGCTGGAGGCTCTTCATTATTTGCCGGCGGTATATACATATAAGACGGGGAGAGCGGCACAAAAGAGCGTTTAAGAAAGGAAACTGTTGGTGGTGATTGCATGCTGAATAGGTGGGCCGGCTGCCAGCGCAGGGGCCCAGCGTGGGCCGATTGAGGCAATTAGAAATACAAGCACTTCCCGCAGGCTCCGCCAATCCCTGCTTCCTCTCCCTCGGCCATCACATTCATCCTTTGTTTTCTGCGGCGGCTCGTAGGCACGCGGGGCCTTGCGCACATACCAGCAGTCCAACACACGCACGCACGCACACACGCACACACACGTGCGGGTCGCACACAGGCACACGTGGGCTGGCGGGGGGGCATGGTTGCGGGGATGAGAAAACGCCCAGTGCCCGCTTTTTATGAAACATAACGCCATTTAACACACGCACACGTACATGCACAGGCACGCGCGCACGCACACTCACGTGCGCCCACTGCCATGAATTTGAGCGTCACAACGCACGAGTGTTTCAGGACCGCACGATTGTTGCGCGATGTGGTAATGTGCACGCGGGCAACACGTGCGTGCCCACGGCCACCCGCAACTTGTGAGCGTGTGCACAGAAGGGGCCTATTTACGTCCGCCGCACAGATGCCCGTGCGACACCGCGCCCCGTTAATTAGCGGCCGCCGCATTCACCAACGCGGCAATTGATTTATGCTCTGTGGCTAAATGGCCGCTGGAGGAAAAACGGGCCACCAGTTATCACAAATTGCCACGTAGCAGCACCTCATCAGCTGTGCTCGTGGTAAATGGGCCGAAACAATCGACGGCAGTGTTGCGTCGGAACAAGATCCAGCTATGTTTACTACTCGATGTATATATGCTGATGAGAACGAGGTCGCTGTAGAAACCAGACATGGAATGCGTGGAATTAGTGTCCAAGGCAAGGTTATACATCCAGTGGCTCCAGCCCACTTGTCATTAAACTCCGGTTCTCTGGCTACATTCCACACGAACCCTATTTATGAAGCTACCCGGCACTTAACAACGTTTCGGTGTCACGTTAAAAGCCTGCCAAGCACACGAGGCTGTTGTCGGCCATCCCCGCCACGTGCGACAGATGCATAGCTCACTGCTGCAGGTGAACTACAAATGGACTACAAATGGACGGATGCTGAGAGATGCCTGCATTGCTGCCAAGAGCACTTCTAGACAAGTTAAAGTGTCACCGAATCACCGTCCGTCTCTCCTCACTCACCGCTAAACTGAGCTTGTTAATAACTCAACCAGTTGCAGGGTGGACCCTTTTGTCACGTTACACTGTGGCGTGATAGATAGTAGGCGGTTCCTCCTGACATGTTTCACTTGTCCTCGAAGAAGAGTGGCTCACACGAGCGGAGGTGCAATGGGTGTGACCCCACTAATGGCTGTCCGTTCTTCACAGTGCAGGTGCAGCCATTGCACTGGTAATGTGCCGGTGTTTAAACAATCCTCAATTATCGCCCTGAGCCACATCTGGCGTGGGGAATTAAAAAAAAAGCATGAAGCAGACTTGAACCCGGTCACACGAGTTCGATTCCTGCGCCATGGCTAACGTTAACGGTGAGTGACATCCGAACCAGTTCTAGTTCCCCCTTCTTCCCCAATCACCAACCGGCATCGACCAGCGCGGTTAAGTATGGTCAAACAACCTCCAAGAACAATACAGTGTGAGGAGGCCTTCAATCAGCAGTGGATTCACAATGGACAATAAACAATGTTGTTTCTTATTTTCGGCGGACTAATCCAGCCTGGCAAAAAAATAACACGTGGGCATCTACACCCGACGCAGCAGGGTACCCTGCCGTTCAGCCCCAACGCATCCCTCAAGTCACCCGGCTTGGGACACGGAAAAGTGTCAAAAATGCACAACACAAATAAATATGGCCACACGTGCGGACTCACTGTGACGGGGCGACGGAGCCAGCCTTGAGGCCAAACTGCCAGACAGTAATTGCGAAAACACTTACAGACTCTCGCCAGAAGCCATTACGGCAGCAAAGTGCGCATTATGCGGGGCTGGGTCCCTGGCGCCGGAAGATTAACTGGGCCGCCGTTTGCAGCCGAGCTTCTACGCTGGACAGGAGGCGGCCAAACAGCGCGCCGGTGATTGTGATGGCGATCGGAGCGGCGATAATGACGGTGGCGGGGATAGTGACGGTGGTGGCAAGTTCAATTTTTTTCGAGTTTCTGCGCTAACGATGGCAAAGATCAGAATTAAAATAATAATAATTACTAGTGAAACATCGCACTCGAATTGTAGATGTTGTGGGCTTATTCTCCAACACACCCGTGTGCTGAACTAGTAACGAATTGGCATCTTTGGATTATGTGACAAACCTTAGTAATTGGCTGTGTCAGGTGGAGGCGGGTTTAACGACACATTTATATTTACGCGATCTAACCCAAAAAACATCTAATATGGATATTAATTAAAAACAAATCTTGATGCAAAGCGTGTGCCAACTGACTGCTGGAATCCCAATGCACAGCTAAGGAATACTGATCGTCTGCTTCACAAAAATAACAAATGGACAAAGGAGACCAATGTACAGTTTATGTATATATATTGTGATACGCACCGACTCAGATACAGTTATAATCCAGTTATGCACAATCACTGACGAATGCATCCCACGCATGCAAATTAGGGCGCACGACCGTGAACTATGTTAAAATGTTGTGAAAATAAGTGTGGCTCCATGGAGCCACGGGGAGCAAAAGTGGCTGCTTCATAAAGGTAGGGAGCAGTTGAGGTGGAGGAAAGGGGGGGTGGTGTGGGGGAAGAAAAAAAATCATCAAGAAGGAATGAAAGTTGTCCGCTCGTTAATCGCCTGCTCGTTAATGAGCTGCTGGCTTGGCTTGGACCCTCAGCGGTGCCTTACCAATGGCTATTTAAATATAATTCTTGATTTAATCAAGAGGCCTTGCTTACCTTAGCCCTCCACTGCCCTCCAAACGCCACAGCTGCCGCCCCACCCAGCCAACAAAAGCAAGCGGCGAGAAAAGCTCACGACACAACCTGCACCTTCGCCAAAATCGCTCGCAAATTGACCAAGCACAGCTTCACCTGTTTATCTCAATTTATATTCTCCCAACTCCCAGCAGCGTTAAGAGCCACATGGGAACACTCTCGACTGCATTAAATTCGTTTTTCTCTGCTTTTTTTACAGGAAGAAATGTGCAAGTCAATTTTTGCGGCAATCTCAGCACGAAGATCTCAATGCATGCTCACTGCCCGATTCGTGAACCGGGAACGTTTTTTCACGTGAATGCAACGTCACATTGTACACGCTGCTGTGCTAAAGTAGCGTTGATTGACATATGTGCGTCGCCAGGACTCAACTCTCCTGCTTAAAATGCAGACTGAACCTAGTTGCACAACTCATTAAACGTCACTTCCACTGCGCCGTTACCGGGGCAGTAGAAGCCGCTAAACAATGACACGTGTGTGCAAATGCCAACAGGTCAAATTCCAAAAACGAGTGCATTTTTACTCTCACTCAAGAGGGTCAACGAGTTGTTTTTTGCCCGCGCTCTTCCGGCAACGGATGTGGGAAGAGAAGCTGCCTGTGCACCGGCGCAATCCGCGTTTAAAGCCTGCACCTACGTGTGGCGCTGGGCCCTCTCGGCACACTGCCCAGCTTTCGGCCCGTCGCACACACTCTCGCGAAACGCGCAAACGCGGCTCCTTCGCGCGCGCACGGACGTCCGGACGTACGTACGTACCTACGTACAAATGGACAAGCAGAGGGACGAATGGGCGAACGGGACGAAGGGCCGGTGAGTTTCCCCCCCCCCCCCCCCTCCTGTTGTCCCGTCACAGCTGGCTGCCCATCTGGCTCCTGTTTTTCAGCCGACGCTATTAATTCCCCAATTATTACCTCCCTTGCTTCCCCCCTCCCCCCCCACATGAAATCTCATTCTGACTCAAAAAGCACAGGGAGCAGAAAAGAACCCCTTGCCTAAATAGTGCATTATGGAAAAGCAATACATTTTTGTTAATATATATAAATAAGTAATAATACAACCGCAAAGTAAACTTGTGGAAATCACGGGGTGAGGAGGCCGGCGCAAACCTCCCCCCTCCCCCCACCCCGAGTGTGGGGGCATGGGAACCGTGTGGGGGAGCCGGGGAGAGGGAGGGGGTTGGGAGGGGGGCCAGGGGGCAGCGACTGACCTGGCCCGACATGTCCGGCGCGAGGGGGATCAGCGGCCATAGTGCGGAGTAGATGAGGAAGAAGACGATCCACATGGCGATGCTGCCCCAGATCGCCAGGTGTGTGAACTGAAGGGAAGTGGACGACAAATCGGCTCAGAAAACTGTGTGTTTTAATGAATTATATCATGCACCTGAGGCTGTATTCTAATACTTTTCGATTTCTCTAGAAATATTTCCAATTCAAATATAAAATACAAGTTAAGTAATATTAAGTATTTATTTTATTATTCATATCTACTTTACTTTACTTCATATCTACTTTTGTGATGCATGAATACTAACAAATAATATAAACAACCATACATGAAAATAAAACCTTGTTTAGTCCATTTACTCCACCAATTTGGCTGCGTAAATTGTGCATGGTATGGGTGCTACGCTACCTTAGTCCATGCAGATGTCACGAGCCCAGCCTTCAAACATACCGTGATGACTACGTACTAAAAACAGAAATGAAACAAACACTTAGTTACAAGGAATAAGTTCATGGAGTGAGTCCACATCTCACTCCCGCACCTCCGATTAACGCGGTTGGCTACGTAAGGTGCGAAAGAAGTTCAACATACAGTACATAATCTGCTATTCGTGGCATAACTGCAGCCTGCAAATTTCCTTGAAGTATGCCAGTCAGTTATAGAAAGCACCCACCAATCTGAAACTACATCACATGACAGTGGTGGGAAACCTACAGCCCACGGGCTGGATGAGGGCCATGACTTCACGTCATATTGGGCTCTATAAAGCCTACCATTTGAAAAACCGCCACAGACGATATTTATCCATCACTGCAAGCATCTGAGACGCAAAAGTCGGGAAATGGAGGAGAATATTTTGGACCAGGCAACACGGCGACAGACGTGGCTTCTGGATCGTGCTAACGTGTGGCCCGCCAAAGGCAATTCAAAGTCCAATTTGACCCTCGATATAGTGTACGCTGGGTTTACGCATAAAAATCACCGCCTTCTACTGGCAGACAAACACCAGGTGCCGAGCCACCTTGTGTCCACTGGGGCTGCCCTATCAGATGTTTCAGATGAGATGTACAGTGCTCTGAGACGCTCCGTCGTATAGGAGAGGCGCTCCATCCAAAAACATCATTATCGTTATTATCTCTGCATCTTCAATTTAAAGGTGTTCTGGGGACAAAAGAATACTCAATAACCCACAAAATCTCATTGTCCAGGATGCAGGCTTTGTTGAGAGCAGGCGGATTTAAGAGGATGGAAAAAAGTGTATTAAGCTCATTGTGTGGCCATCCGTGGGAGAGATGATGCAATAAAACTTGACAAAAGTGAATTGTGAAGTGTTCAAATGAAGCTCGAAATGGTTATCTCAATCTATATCCACGTGGGCGATCAACCTTTTTTTTCTCCAGGAAACCCCTCAACTGTGAAGGGTTCATATGGCAGGAAATGTTTAAGCGGGCGTGCGCGTTACACGAGCTCCCGATGTAGGAAAACGGGGGACAATATGCAAATAGAGGGTCAAAAACAACAATAATGGTGCCCAGAATTCATTGCTAACACGTGTATGCTCTACAGAAGCGATATATGGCCACACACAGCCACACACAGCCACACACACTCCCAAATGTCAGGCGTTTAGTGTGGACTTCTCGATTATCGTTGCGGGGGGGGGGGGGGGATTTTACTTGAAAAACACCAAGAAATCTCCTAGCACTCTAGGCAGTCACAGTTTACAACTCACTTTGTCTGGGATCACGGGCGAGTCCGCTGCTCTGGGTCAGGCTACCTTCACGGATTTCGATCAGCACCAACAGTGGTGCCTTTATCCAATCACAATCGTCTCCAATTCAAAGGATTCACAATATTCTTGGTTCTTTCGGTAAAGTCACGTAGAAGGGAAACAATTAAATAATGAAATGTCGAGTACTCACGATCGCAAAGCTTTGAGAACGTATTTTACCACGTAACAAAATTCTCTAACCAATGCAACAGCAACCTGAGGTTGATTCCCAGCCATGGCTAACATCAGTGGTCAGCGATATTTGAACTGGGCCAAGGCTTCTTCCCTCTCTTCACAAAAACCCACACTGACCAGCATGGTAAAGTATGGTGAAGTAAACCCCATAACTCGCATGGCATGGGGAGGCCTTCATCCATCAGTGGATTGACAAAGGGCTGTACATTTTTTCAAGGTTGCATAAGTATTTATTACACAGCATGTGTACGTAGATTCTACACTTTATTTTGCAGACAAAATCCTTGTAGTATCTGGAGAGTAAATCTTGCTTACCGTATAAACCATGTTGCCCAGAAAGAGATTATCGACCACCTGGCCATTTCGAAACAGTGTGCCTAGAAAATGAAAGCAAAAGGCAAACGTGAGACCAAAATCCTGCATGGCCAGATTCAAAACACACGTAAACATTTTGTTGGGCTGCATCGCTGAACTTTGCAGAGCGTGGATGATACGCAGTAACTTTCTCTGCACGAATATTTGGAAAATTGCATCAATATTTATGCAGGACCAACATTTGTATTTCCTGAAGGGCTTCGCAAAGAAATAGAATATTGATGAGGACAAAAAAAAACAACATTAACTATTTACAAAGCATCTTTTAAACGATGGAGTGTCGAGCTCAAAGCGGATATTTAATGTTGTCTTCGATGTAGTAAAACATACTTATTTCAACAAAGGAGTAACAAATTACAAGTTCAGACCACAAAAAAATACTGCTTTTGAATTTCCTCTCTGTACCTCTGCCTTGGCCTCACTCAATAATCACACATTTCCTGGCCGTGAATTATAATAATAATGTGATCTACTTACTAAAAAAATATAACATAGACACAAGGTCCACAGAGAGTAAAAAAAATGTACCGTACATTGACATTATAAATACTTAACAGCGGCGATTAGAACAAAAACCCACACTGTGCGATAAAAAAATATATATCGTGGCGATTAAGGGTTAAATATATTTTTTGTTGTTGTGGAGACTGCAAGTTTAGCCTTTCAAACAAGTGAACGGACACACGCGCGTGCACGCGCACACACACGCAAACGCGCGCACACACAGACACATTCACCCATCAGCGAACGCACCCGCAGACAGAAACACGCTCACACGGGGACAACCCACCACTGCTCCATATGCTAATTTCACAAATCATTCTGGAGAAACGCGTTTCTGTTTTCCCCGCGAGTCGGCTCAAGCCTCCCCCTCTCCCCCCCCGTCGTCCGCGCGTCCACCTCGGTCTCTCCCCAGACACACACAGAGAGCCAAGCACCGCACATAATACCCAATTTGCATTCACACCACACGTAGCGCAAGGAAGACGGGCCAAGTGTTTATTTCCATATGAAAACGTCCATAAGGGTGACCCGGCCCCCATTGGAGATGCAGAGATGCCTGGTGTCGGCCGGGGGGTCTCTGTCAGCCCCTTGCAGTCTCCCCCCCCACTACCCCCCTCACTACCCCCCCCCCCCACTACCCCCCCCACTACCCCCCCCCACCCACAAAATAAATTAACCTTTAAGTTGCACAACTCGCAAAGCTCAAATGTGTTTTGTGATAAGTATAAAAGTTAAACTGGATATTGTTTAATGTATGCATCTGTGCAAGTTTGTCCATTTTTACTTTTCTGTGCAATTGATGCGCGCAGATTTTGTTACCCAGTAGAAGTAACTCGTGGAGAAGTGAGAGAATGGGACGAAAGAGAGCAAGGCCATCAACCGAGCTGAGCTCCTCCACAGTAATATTTGCGATGACATCTAAACTGCTGAGATATGGCCATTACTTTCTGGACAATAAATTCCTACAGTTAAACACAAGTGTGCAATTTTTTTTGCGGTGCGTTACTGACTGCAGGCCAACCTGGACTTATACCGAGGAATAATCCCAAATAGTTTTTGGTGTGTGGCCACCACTTATCCTTCCAAGTCGCCCCAGCCGCCCTCTCCCCCAGCCTGCTTGGCCAAGAAGGACACACAAGAAGGACACACATGAAGGACACACAAAAAGGACACAAGGACACACAAGGACACACATCAAGGACGTACATGAATGACGCACAAAAAGGACACACAAGAAGGATACACAAGAAGGACGCACATGAAGGACACACAAGAAGGACACACATGCTGTACTTCCACAAGGACACGCGATGACCATGGAGAGGGGGGCTCCACTAAATATCCATTCCACTCGACGATAAGACCGAACCAACGTACAAACACCCGCACGACTCTAAAGACGTCGCGAAATGGAAAAAAGATAACGAAATGAAATGCCACGCCACACTCCCCACCGCACGCCCACCAAGCTTCCCGGGACTAGTGTGGTAAAGTATGGTCAAATAACCCCCGGGATCCGCACGGCGTGGGATCGTACACATCCAACAGTGGATGGGCAATATCTATATATAAATGCCACAACCACCTGGTTTCCTACTCTATCGGTTGGCCGGGATGAGGGCTACGTATGGCCTCCTGCTACTCAGACATTTACAGAGACCCTTTTTTGTAAGCGATTCCGTGTACACGCCCACCGAGGTCTGGCCCTCCCTGTGTTGGCTGCACAGAGAGGCCATTCTTGTGAACAACTTTATAGAAGGGGGGAGTGGGAGGGGGGAAATCAGCGGGCAGGAATATGTTGACTCAAGCATGTGCGCCGTCTGCCATTCATTGTTGCTTCAGCGCGTGTTGCTTTAGCGCGTGATGCTCAAAACGGTCTTCATCGGTAGCACTAAAACCACGTGGCGAGCATCGGAATTGTCTGACTTCCATCGCGATATTTTCATTGCTAATGTGCGTCAGGCTCATTTATTTGGAACTGCTTCTTGTGTTTAGTTTGCTGTCCTTCCTCTGCACCTCCGATAAGCACGGTTGGCTACGTACGGCGCGAAAGAAGTTCAGCGTCCACGCGTCACACTTGCGCACTGTGGTTATTCGCTTAAGACTGTTTTTTTTTTTCTCGGGAACGTGTTTTAGAAGAAGAGAAAAAAAGACATTAAACAGAAGATCAAGAGTTGGAATGTTAACGTGGCGTTTCTTATGAGGGATGCAAGTAAACAAAAGCAGCCACCAAAGGTCACATGAAATAGCCGAGAGGACACAGGGGACCAATGGCTGCCCCCCCAAGCCACCCAACTCCTTCAGCCACGATGTAAACATTAGCCCTTTATTTATTTAAATTTGAAGGTGGGTAGAATTATAAACACACACACGCGCTGAAGACAAGCCACCTATTTCACAGTGTCAATGGCATTTCACATTTGACGAAAACACAGCTACTGTACTGATGAGCTCTGAAGAATAATGCAATCCCCAATTTAGTTTCTCTGGACTCGTTGATTATTCTATTGAAGAGTTCCTTAAACTTGTAATGAATGCATAAAATGTCACGTGAAAGAGTCAATGTGTTGACATTCGTATGTGTTGTACGTAACGAGTTTGTGTCAACCGGGCCAGCCAATGCCCGTCGATTACATTTGCCGCAACGTTCAAGGAAGAATTAAGGAATCAACTCTTAAAAACTGATTTGCGACGTGAAATAACAAAAATGTATCAAAATCTCCAGGGAGAAACAACGAATCATTACGCCTCTGGTTGCCTTCTACTGCCGTTGTGCACAATGTTTTTCCTTCACCGCATCCATTCGCTCGTTCCTTTCTTCGAACATTACACCTGACCGTTTGGTGGCTCATGCTCAGGTCGCGGTGGCGAGATGTTAACTACCTCGCCTGGTATACAGGAAGTCGGGAGTTCGATCCCGACCCCGACGCCTGTGTATTTGGCGTTTGCATGTTCTCCCCGTGGTCGCATGGATTTTTCTCCGGGTCATCCGGTTTTTCCCCTCCGCATTCAGAATCAACATCATGCGTTTAGAGTATTTGACGTTGAGAGTATATATATTTACGTGTTCTAACCCAAAAACCTCTATTATGGAAGTATTTGGCTGCTATAAATTTCGACATGATAAGCCACTTAATTGGGATACCATTTGTGGCCATGTCGCTTCTGAAAAAGAGCTATATACCTCAGTGGGCTTTACCTGGTAAAATAAAAAATAAAAAGTTTAAATAGTAAATAAGTGAGACACGGGCTATGGGGGCCCCCCACCCCCTCCCATGCCCGTGGGTGGTGGTTGCGAGCGCGACATCCACGCAGTCAAGTGGTCACATCCTCACGTACCGTACTGGAGCATTTTCAGTGGGAACCAGAATAAAAAGATGGAGTCCAGAAGTCCATTGAAGCAGTGACTCCAGAATACCTGGTAAACAAAAAGCCAAAGCATTCTGGCAGCATGATCTTGTTTTGGGGGGGGGGAATACAACTCAGAGGGGGGGGGGGGGAGAACAACACAATGTAAAACACTTTAACTAATTTTGATTTAAAGATTTCGTGACTGCAGTAATTCATATTCTTAGTTTTTTCGGTAAAGTCACGTTTAACTAATGTTAAGCTCACCAAGCGCATTGCTTTGGTCTATCACGCATTCTGTTCTATCGCGTATGTATTGTATGTTGAACTTCATTAGCACCATACGTAGCCAACAACCGTGCTAATCGGAGCCAAGGCTGTACCTATTTTGTTATCGACTGTAATATTTAGAAGGGGGGGTGGGCTGAGCTTTTCAGCAGGGCAGGGTCGGGGTGGGGGCTCGACCCCCTCCCCCCTTCAGTTGCCCTGACCCACTGCAGGGCTGTACCAAAGGAGGCAGCAGCAGCAAAGAAGCAATGGAAATGCAGAAATGGGGCAATGGTTGAGAGACGGTCAGTCGTGAGGAGGGAACGGGAGGTTGTGGTACTGACGCGGTGACGTTTGGGACGTGGAGGGAGAGGGATTGGCGACGATGGCCGAGGGGTAGGTGGTGAGGTGCGAGAACGAGGGCGATGATTAGATGGTGGGTGGTGAAGGGCTGAGTGGGGCGACGGTTGGGCCGTGTGCGTGTGTGGCGTGTAGGGGGTGGCGGAGGAGATAAAGCCGGGAGAAGTAGAAAAAAAAAAGGTCAGCGGTGATTAAAACTGGTGACCTTTCTTGGCCTCTGACCCTGCGGAGAGGGCACATCCTGAATGCATACCTACGGGAGGAGAAAGGGCTAAGGCCAGGCAACCCTGGGTCATCATATATTTTGAATAATTTAAACATCGGCTGCACGGCAAATAAACACGTTTCCAACTGAAATTGCACTCGTTTAAACTATTTTAATTCAAGTTTAAAAATCAAGAAAAATAATGACGGGAAAAAAACGGGGGGGGTGGGAGTGGCGGTGGGAGTGGCGGTGATCTTTATTTTCCCGTCCGCTCCCCTCGCGCCTTTGCCTTCCGCTCGCGCGCCGCCGTCGGACCCCGCTTGCTGCGGCAGGTGTCCCGCGGTGCCGACAAGCCGGGCCTACACCGGCAGCTGTCACTCAGCGCTCGAGCAGGGCTGGGAATAGCTGCCACCGGAGCACCCGTGTACGTGCGTGCGTGCGTGCGAGCGAGCGAGCGTGTGTGGGTGTGTTTACACGTGCCAAAGCGCACGCGCACGCACGTGTGCGCGTGCGTGTGGCCACTTAAGGTTTAAAGTGCTCGATGTGTGACTGAGAAATTACGAGTTCCACCGGGGTACCGGAGTTGGACAGCACCGCGGCTTGCCGTCGTGCACCAATCAAGCGCTGGCAATTAAGCCTGGTGGTGGCGGTGGTGTGTGTGTGTGTGTGTGAACATGTGCGGATTCTTTGCCTTGCCGCACCAGGGGTGCCTCACAGCCGCCGTGATCAAAATAAACCGGCCACCCACAATGCTGAAGCTCAAAAGACTTCTCAAATGTGTACACCTCCCCCCCCCCCCTTGCATACAAATTCATAAAGTAAAAAAACTCCTACCTCACAAGCGGGCACTGTCTTCTCACTCTTCTTTAATATCGTCTGCTCTACTGTTAACATTACACGATACGTATTTCCACCGCACTTTCAATAACATATGCACATCTTCTAAGCCATCACTCAGCGCATATTTCATCTCAGTCAAAGCATCTCAGTCTCCCCGCACAAACAGAATTGACCTTTATTTTAGAGTTCCATTCTGCCCTGTTTCAGTGCCACCATCAGCAGCCATTACAACCGACCAGCCCATCTTAATCACTTACATTACTTGACCTGCATTCCCGAATACTCTGGATTAAACGCAGCTTGCCCCTACTCAGCAAATCTCTTCCGCCCCTGGCAGCAGCTGGTGGTAACGGAAGGAGCTAAGGGATCACATGGGACGGAAGCGTGGAGGTGTTCATACGGTAGTTCTCCCTCGCTAACCATGACCCCCCCCCTTCCAACCCACGCAATTTCACCCCCCCCCTCCTTGGTCCTGAAGGTGCGAGGCAACGGGGGAAGGGGGGGGGGCTCCCGCACGTAATTGCATCCAGCCTCGTCACCCGAACTTCCGGAGCGGTTCAGGGGTCTCGGAATGAAGACGATAATGTTTTCCTCCCTGCGGCGAAACTGAAATCGCGAGAGGGCTTAACGGCAGCTTACACATGTCTGCCGCAAGCAGGGGGCTCACGGGGCATTGTTCCGAGACACGACTCCCCGCCGGCCCGGCTAATCCATGCCTAATCTTCACTACGCAACCCCACAGAGCCCCCAACTACATCCCCACTAAACCCGAACTAACTAACTATCGCGCCCAACCCCGGAAACACACCACCGTGACATCGCCATTCATTAGTATGGCGCACACATACGCACACACGTAACCAAAATAGCTAATCACTTCGACACACGCGATTACTGTAATTGATCATTAACAGGGGTTGGGGGGGGGGGGTGGCTAAGTTTTTGTAATTATTATTACTTAATCTATACATTGTAAGCAAGAAGACCAGGCAGGAACCAATTACCTTCAATTGGTGAAACATGATGAGGACGGCAAAATAATAAGCACATTGTGGAAAATAAATTGGCCCCTAACAAGATCTGTTACAGCAGGTACAACAATCTGCCTGGAAACGTGAAGAAACAGACCCACGACTAAAATGTATTATTATTATTATTGTGCAACTGCTCTCACAGGGCGAATCTAACCCAGCAGGGAGAGGGTTAACCGCACGGCCAGATTATATTATGGGAATTTTTTTTTTCCTGCTGCTGCTGGGAGGCACCCCGGTGCCTCTCCTAATTGGTGCATTAGGCGCGGGGTGAATCCAGGCTGCTGTCTGTCAGACGAACCCATCAGCAGTAGCCACGAGCGTTTCGCTCCATTAAACTTTAAATCTGTGTGGCGGCAGAGAGGAACAAGCGGTTAGGACCTGCCCCCGCCCCCCCCTCCAACCTTCTTACCCTTCGTACCCTTCACGTCACCCTCACACCGCCTCCTCCCCACGGCCACCTTCAGCCCACGCACCCGAGGCCCCAAAAGCTTCGGGACAGAGGCTAGCGAAGGACTATGGCTTTGCCAGCACGTGCCTGCCCGACCGATGTCCCGGAGGAGACAATCGGCAGGCCAGCCCTGCATATTAAAGTTCGTAAAAAACATCACTGATCAGAGCATGAAGCCCGATTGAAGTCCTGCACACCCAACAGGGTTGAATTTGTCCGAACTGTTAAGAGTGGTGTTCAACGTGGAAAGAGTTGCACTGTCTGCGCCGTGTCCAGAAACTTTAATAACGCTTGGACGTCGAACTTCAGAAGGGCAATTGTTGAGCGTTAAATAACTTTGGATGTAAGTATGTATGTTGAGCTTCTTTCACACCGTACGTAGCCAACCGAGCTAATCGGAGGAGCGAGGCAATAACAATGAGAATGACCATAACTGTGGTGACGACGATGATGTCGGTGATGACGGCGATGATGAGCGAGGGAGGATGATTACAACGGTAATGATTGTGATGATGGCGCCCCGTGAATACCTTGGTGTTGAAGACCACTGCGTTCTGAGACATCTTGTAGAGCTCAGGGAAGCGCAGCATGCTGTTGGCACTGCACATCTGGTCGAATATCCCCAGGGCAAAGGGCGGCAGGGCCAGGAATGCCTCGAGGATAACAACAAACAACAGACAACAAACTACAACAGACGCATAAAAACCCCTGCACGCACGTGCCCGCAACACTGTCCCCCATGTCAAGTTTTCTGAAGAAAAAAATAAATTCTTGATTTAAAGCTTTGGTGACTGCAGGGATTCATATTCTTGGGTCTTTCGGTAAAGTCACGTAGAAGGGAAACAATAAAATAATAAAAATATAAAACAATTAAATTATCTCGACGTTTCGACTGCAACACAAGCAATCGTCATCAGGTGTGAAAACCTTCTACGTGACTTTACCGAAAGAACCAAGAATATGAAAAAATACATCTTCATTAATATTGGCATGAATATCTAAGTTTCCAATTAAGTAGTTCATTTCATTTATATTCTGCGTAGATAAAATACTACCAGAATGTACAGCATGTCTATGCAGAGTACAGACAAACTCATTTCTTTAGAACCGCTGTTTGTGTTAACTTTGTTGTCTTTCCCCGCACCTTCCATTAGCACGGTTGACGACATACGGTGCAAAAAGAAGTTCAGCACTTACATGTACAATGAAGGGAGCAGTAGTGGCGTTGTTAGCGCAATGTGTTATGAACTCGACGATCTGACCTCAATTCCCGGGCCAGGGCTAACAACAGTGGCGAGTGATATCTCCAGCGGTTCGGTGCATCCACACCACCGGCCCGCACTGCCCAGAGAGGTGAAGTATGTTCAAACAACCCCCTGGCGATCGGCACAGCATGGGGGGGAGGCCTTCACCCAAGCCAGGTATTGAAACATTGCCAATTTTTTTATATTAATATTTTATTGCATACAATTTATATTGAAGCCAGGTTGCGTACGATACACACATTCATACCGTTCAAACTGTATGCACTGGAAGAAATCACAGCATGCAGTCTCTCCAGTTTGCCACACACAGAGTACCCCCAAGTGCACAGACAAAACCAATTATGGTGGCAAAACCGGATCGCGTGTCTATGGTAAGAGGCCAAGTAATAATTCGAGCTTAGCCCTGTTTGCATGAACAATCCGTATAAGAAGGCCGATGCGAAAGAAAATAAAAACCCTTCAACGACCGAGAACGTTGCGTCACCTGTAACCGACGGTAACATCGGCGACGTGCCTGCCTCACTGCGATGCACGGACAGGTTCTAATGTGCGGTCGCGCCTTAAAGAAGCGACTCGAGTGGATACTTACCACATTGTAGAGGCCGATGCACCACCGTTCAAAGAGGATCTGTCCAGAGAATCCGCTGTTGAAGGCAAACCAGAGCTGAAAAAAATAATAACAGAAATAAAGTTTGAGTCAAGCAGCTTACATGCGGCGAGTAAGAACCCCCATTCAGCACAACCCTTTTGTTGCAGGTTGAAGACACAGCATTTCGTTATCGTGTTATGCCAGGGCTTCAACACAGGATTCCATGAATAATGTCCAAGCTCTTTTGTGTGTGAAATCACATCACATGAACGGAAGATAAATCTGAGTCGTATAAATAACCCGAACTTTATCATTGGCGCAATGGATAGTATTTTGTTCTTAACACATTTTCACAACTGCTGGTACTCAAATGAATAATTATTTCAATTAATGTACAACTCTTGATTAATCCAGTTGGATCAAGCTTTCCCATGCTGTGTGAGTCATGGGCATTTAGTTTCTCCATACTTCACCATGCTGGTCAGTGGGTACCCAGGACCAGTTCAGATATCAACCAACACCGATGTCAGCCATAGGCAGGATACAAAACTCAAAGTCTCCGGGACCATAATACAGTGCGCTAAATTCTGCGCCATCTCGGCACACACTATGGATTAACTTTTAACATTAGTACCAAATGCAGCATTTGCTACTAATGTTAAAGGGAGTGCAGACTATTATGAAGAGTGAGCTTCTAAAGGCCTGGCTCAAAATGAAAAACAATGATATAAGTAATAAATAAAAGCATTCGTCACAACAACTGTACCAACTGTTGTAAATAAGTCATCATTCCTCCAGCAACTTCTGTAAATATTTAGTCTTTTAAAACTTGCAAGCGTGACAATGTCAAACTCACGCAAACAGTTGAAGTGGACCTGTGTTCATAAATCCCGTGGAAATGCGAGAGATGTTCGGGCTGCAATCAAATCTGAGATCTGCGAGTATTAAAACGTTGAAAAAAAAATGTAACCTAACTTTTGGCTTAATGTGAGCAAGATGTGAGCTTGCTTTTTTTTGGTAAATGAAACTCTGCTCCAAAAGTTGCAGAGCCCCAGGGACAGTCACGTGCCCTAAGTGGAGACAGAGACCGGGATTGTTGACGGGGCTCCCGAGATAACACGTGCACGGGACAAGGACAGATCTGAGGAAGAGCAGGGCAATACAACAATAATTATAAAAACCCTACCAAAAACACGTGTCTCTTCAAAACCCTTGCAATGATGCTGTAATGCCATACCCGTATTCAAAAGCCGGGCATGAGTGCTCACATTTTTGATCGTTTTTCCCAACCACCCCCTCTTCTGGTTCGACATGGCTCTCAAAGTGCACGGCTCAGTGAGCCAGCCAACACGGTAAGGGATGATGGTGTGTGTGGTCATTGGAATGGTATTGACCAGTCTGGCGCCCCTACAGCTGAAGAATGCAACACGTGTAGAGATATGTGTTCTATCCAATTTGCCATAAAAATGGTTTCAATCATGTCCAGTGTAAACACTATTTTTTGTACCCTCCAAGTGGGAGTACATTCTTCTTCACGGCAGTTTAGAGGTAAAATGCGGTGCAATTTATTATTGCTGTGGTTGTTGGCTAACGATTTTGACAACAAACCCAAAAAACTCACACTTGTATCAAAGTAATGCATGGCGGGGCACAGGAACTAAAATATTCAAATGAAGTAAAGTAAGAGTAGAGAAAAACATTTATTTCATTTTCCAGCTTTAATCGGACGTAAAAAAAGGATCTACCTCGCTTCCCTCCCATGCAACCCTTGGCCTCTTCCTTTCCCCACCCTCTCTTGGCGTTCTCCTTAATTAATCCAAGGGCCTCACCTCAGCATCCAGAGCCGACTGACACCCGCCCTGCAGCGAGCTAAACGCCAGAGCAAATCTCTGAGCGCGGTCAAGTCCAGGCCACGAGGGCTTCCTTTTCTGACCGTCTGGATTTTAATTAGCGAGACGATGGGGGGGGGGGGGCTCCAAAATGTGTCCTGCTCGACTGCTGCCACTGCTCTCTCACTGCCGCCCCACCTCCTCCCATGCACACGCACCAGCCTCTCACCCGCCAGTCCAGTCCCTCGAGGGCGGTGAGCGCGTTCGCCCGATGGCTGCGGCGGCTGCCCCTTCACGAAGAACGTTAAAAGATCCCCCGCGTCATTCGCAAGAGGAGGCCATTGGGTGCCAGCCGGGCCTGAGCGTCCAAATATGGCATTATTCGGGAATTGCACCGCCAATTATTCAAATTGGGATTAAACACAGCAATCATCGCCCCCCTACTCTCAGACTATGTATTGCCCCCAGGTCATTCTTGCAAGTGAGACTTTATCCTGGTCCCTTTAGTTCTCACCTGGTTAAAATAAAATTCAAGCTCTACTCGGCGAGCACCTCAAGTCTCACCACACAATGGAAGCGCAACATCCGACCACGCCCACCGCGGGTGCAACAGCTTCTCCTGAATAAAGCGGGGAAATGGGATTCCATGGATTGTATTTCTTATGCCTGCCCCCGCCCCTGCCCAACAACCCCCCAATCGACCCTGTCCCTGCCACTGCACCCCACTGACACCAACTGCCACGTGCCTCAGTTCCCAGAGGTCCCAGATATTTATTGTGCCCGTTTGGAGCCCCCAAATATGGCACATCACCTTTGATTTATTTCTTGGAATGTGGGTGCAGTTAAACTTGCTCAGTGTCATCCTTCCTCTTGAGTCCATAATGAGTATTGTTTACCCGTGTTAATAGTCATATTTACACGTTTTTGTGAAAGCGCATGAAGGTTGACGCAAGAGATATTAAACAAAATCAATGCCACATTAAAAGCCACGAATGTCCGGTTCTAAACTTGCAGCTCAACCAATTTATAATTGAAGCAACAGAGTGCACACTTGTAAACACACCACGGGCTATGTCGGCAAGTACATATCATGACAAATCTACACAAAAACAAGGAATCAAGTTTGTCATATTTGGGAAAAATATTGCTTAAAATCAAATCTTTCCCTACCTCACGATACACGAATCATGACAGTGAAAACATACGCTTTACACGGTTATGAACGTAATTACGTGCAAAATATATGCTCACGTGGCAATTCGACCGACTAATGTGTGTTGAGCAAAACCAGACTTATGAGACAAATAAAATGAGACAAAGGAAATGAAAAACAATTTAAAAGGACAATACAAATGAGACAAAAAAGTATCGTACTCCTGCACAGTGGTTCGGTACAGACCTCCGATGTGTTTCCAGGCTGCGCCACGTTGTTGTTCGGCACGATGCTTAAATATTTGGGTTGTACCAAAACAACAAATTGGCACATCCCGCTAATATATCGGAGCTCTAAAAGAGAATTGATTCTTAAATCGAATCACAATGCTTATTCGTGATAATTCATCGTGCGTGGTGAGGGGGGGGGAAGGAGGTAAATCATTAGCCAGAACCAGGATATTTATTTACACGGGAGATATCCGATGAGCGATAAAGCTCTTTTTCACAGATGTCACCCGAGTCAGGGCATCACCCTCTTAACAACTCAACGGGCCACGATGGCCACCGTAAGGCTTAGCAGAGCAATGTCACCACCACTTTATCACAGAATACTCTTTGGTTCTTTCGGTTAAGTCACGTAGGTAGAAAAATTATCACACCAATCAAAAGTCGTTGGGAAATAATCATGGGAAATGTTTATTTTTAATAACTGGTAGTTTTTTTTTTAAGTTAAGCGCTTTTCTTTTGCCTCGGCCTAATAAAGGGTTTCACTGACACAAGGGACCATCTCAGCCACGTTCAGGGCCTTAGCACCACAGCAGCAGCCTAACCAAAAGCACTGGCCAAGTGTAGGTAATATACAAGTAAAATATTATTTTATTGTTTCCCTTCTACGTGACTTTACCGAAAGAACCACGAATATGAATCCCTGCAGTCACGAAAGCTTTAAATCAAAATTAAAAATATACAAGTAAAACCATTTACAGAACTGTGCAAACAGGTACAATTAAAAACGGCCAGAAAATACCCTGAGTTTTGGCCTACTTTCAGACCCTCTCAGGGGTAATATTAGGACTAACAATACACACGATTCTAAGAAATGCCACTTTTTATAACAGCTGTGCTGAAATCTGGCATGCCAAATGGGTTTTATTTTTATATGAGGTTTTTTTTCCTTTCAAAGAGCAATTAAAATAATATTTTTGTAATACTTTGTGTTGCATTTTAAACCGTATAACAGCATTAGTCTTCATGCCTGCACTCTGCTTTGTAGCAACTTATCAAAAATGTCATTCGAGCAAAACAAGCTCTGCTTTCATGACATTGAGTAATTTAAATATTTAAACAAATTGTCAACGCACCTAACATTTACTCCATCATGATCGTCTCCGTCACAAGTTTAACATATTAATGCACAACATCAAATGTTGTACACTTAAACATGTTTTCGAGTGTCGGTTTAGAACTACCCTCTCTGCCATTACAACGTCCCTCATTAAAATTTTACTGTAAAGTGTTTTTTTTTACATATAAATGCAAAATGAACGCCTGCCATTGTCAATATTGAAAGCTTATGAAGGTTGGTGGTCCAAAGAACGCCTAGAATTGATTTATTCAATTGGCCAAATGTGTGGTTGACTAGAAGCCCGAAGTGTTTGTGAGTGTTGGTAGTTCGTTAAAAGTGATGGTTTAGAATAAAGCTGTGGATTAGTTGCCAAGTTTGGTGTGTACAGTGTGGGATGGGTAAGGTTTAAGATGAAATGCAAGTTAATCAGTCTGTAACCCTCTCACTGTGATTACTGAGAACTACTGCAGCTGAACATTAAAACAATTCGTATTGATACTGCATTCACAGGAGGTGCACAAGCACATACAGCATCAACCAAAACACAACTATGCATCCTATGAAGGATGGGCCAAAGCAGAATCGTTGCCTCTTGCATATATATATAATTCACTTGTTCGGGAAGAATTATTGACAAACGTGTGTTTTGTAATAAAGTACGATATATTGCAATGAAATGGGACAAAACCAATTAGTATAGCCTCGAATGTGTGTCTGTTATATATACACATCCACAACAAGTAGTT